ATCTTTTAACTTTGCTTTCTCAAGGAACGCATTAAAATTCAACGGAACAACATCACGAGCCATCTATCTACAATCAACATAAACAAGCAAGATACTATCAGGTACTAAGTTCATGATAAGTTTAAGTTCAATTAATCAAATTACTTAAGAACTCCCACTTAGATAGACATCCCTCTAATCCTCTAAGTGATCACGTGATCCAAATCAACTAAACCATAACCGATCATCACGTGAGATGGAGTAGTTTTCAATGGTGAACATCGTTATGTTGATCATATCTACTATATGATTCATGCTCGACCTTTCGGTCTCTGTGTTCCGAGGCCATATTTGCATATGCTAGGCTCGTCAAGTTTAACCTGAGTATTCTGCGTGTGCAAAACTGGCTTGCACCCGTTGTAGATGGACGTAGAGCTTATCACACCCGATCATCACGTGGTGTCTGGGCACGACGAACTTTGGCAACGGTGCATACTCAGGGAGAACACTTCTTGATAATTTAGTGAGAGATCATCTTATAATGCTACCGTCAATCAAATCAATATAAGATGCATAAAAAGATAAACATCACATGCAATCAATATAAGTGATATGATATGGCCATCTCATCTTGTGCTTGTGATCTCCATCTCTGGAGCACCGTCATGATCACCATCGTCACCGGCGCGACACCTTGATCTCCATCGTAGCATCGTTGTCGTCTCGCCAATCTTATGCTTCCACGACTATCGCTACCGCTTAGTGATAAAGTAAAACATTACATCGCAATTGCATTGCATACAATAAAGTGACAACCATATGGCTCCTGCCAGTTGCCGATAACTCGGTTACAAAACATGATCATCTCATATAATAAAATTCAACATCATGCCTTGACCATATCACATTACAACATGCCCTGCAAAAACAAGTTAGACGTCCTCTACTTTGTTGTTGCAAGTTTTACGTGGCTGCTACGGGCTTAAGCAAGAACCAATCTCACCTACGCATCAAAACCACAACGATAGTTTGTCAAATAGACTCCATTTTAACCTTCGCAAGGACCGGGCGTAGCCACACTTGGTTCAACTAAAGTTGGAGAGACTGTCGCCCGCAAGCCACCTATGTGCAAAGCACGTCGGGAGAACCGGTCTCGCGTAAGCGTACGCGTAATGTCGGTCCGGGTCGTCTCGTCCAACAATACCGCCGAACCAAAGTATGACATGCTAGTAGGCAGTATGACTTATATCGCCCCACAACTCACTTGTGTTCTACTCGTGCATATAACAACAAACCATAAAACCTAGGCTTGGATGCCACTGTTGGGGAACGCAGTAATTTCAAAAAAAAATCCTACGCACACGCAAGATCATGGTGATGCATAGCAACGAGAGGGGAGAGTGTTGTCTACGTACCCACGCAGACCAACTGCGGAAGCGTTGACGCAACGTAGAGGAAGTAGTCGTACATCTTCCCGATCCGACCGATCCAAGCACCGTTACTCCGGCACCTCCGAGTTCTTAGCACACTTACAGCTCGATGACGATCCCCGGGCTCCGATCCAGCAAAGCGTCGGGGAGGAGTTCCGTCAGCACGACGGCGTGGTGACGATCTTGATGTTCTACTGTCGCAGGGCTTCGCCTAAGCACCGCTACAATATGATCGAGGTGGAATATGGTGGCAGGGGGCACCGCACACGGCTAAGAAACGATCTCAAGGATCAACTTGTGTGTCTAGAGGTGCCCCCTGCCTCCGTATATAAAGGAGCCAAGGGGGAGGGGGCCGCCGGCCAGGAGGAGGGCGCAGGAGGAGTCCTACTCCTATCGGGAGTAGGACTCCCCCCCCCCCAATCCTAGTTGGACTAGGATTCCCCGAGGAGGAAAGAGAGAGAGGGGGGCCGGCCACCTCTCCTAGTCCTAATAGGACTAGGGGAGGGGGGAGGCATGCGGCCACCTTGGGGTGCCCCTTTCTCCTTTCCACTAAAGCCCAGCAAGGCCCATATGGCTCCCGGGGGGTTCCGCTAACCTCCCGGTACTCCGGTAAAATCCCGATTTCACCCGGAACATTTCCGATGTCCAAATATAGGCTTCCAATATATCAATCTTTATGTCTCGACCATTTCGAGACTCCTCGTCATGTCCGTGATCACATCCGGGACTCCGAACTAACTTCGGTACATCAAAATGCATAAACTCATAATAACTATCATCGTAACGTTAAGCGTGCGGACCCTACGGTTCGAGAATAATGCAGACATGACTGAGACACATCTCCGGTCAATAACCAATAGCGGGACCTGGATGCCCATATTGGCTCCTACATATTCAACGAAGATCTTTATCGGTCAGACCGCATAACAACATACGTTGTTCCCTTTGTCATTGGTATGTTACTTGCCCGAGATTCGATCGTCGGTATCCAATACCTAGTTCAATCTCGTTACCGGCAAGTCTCTTTACTCGTTCCGTAATACATCATCTCGCAACTAACTCATTAGTTGCAATGCTTGCAAGGCTTATGTGATGTGCATTACCGAGAGGGCCCAGAGATACCTCTCCGACAATCGGAGTGACAAATCCTAATCTCGAAATATGCCAACCCAACATCTACCTTTGGAGACACCTGTAGAGCTCCTTTATAATCACCCAGTTACGTTGTGACGTTTGGTAGCACACAAAGTGTTCCTCCGGTAAATGGGAGTTGCATAATCTCATAGTCATAGGAACATGTATAAGTCATGAAGAAAGCAATAGCAACATACTAAACGATCGGGTGCTAAGCTAATGAAATAGGTCATGTCAATCAGATCATTCAACTAATGATGTGACCTCGTTAATCAAATAACAACACCTTGTTCATGGTTAGGAAACATAACCATCTTTTATTAACGAGCTAGTCAAGTAGAGGCATACTAGTGACACTAAGTTTGTCTATGTATTCACACATGTATTATGTTTCCGGTTAATACAATTCTAGCATGAATAATAAACATTTACCATGATATAAGGAAATAAATAATAACTTTATTATTGCCTCTAGGGCATATTTCCTTCACTTAGTGGGCCTTAGTGGAAGAGAGGAGAGGTGGCCAGAGATGGGCCGCGCGCCCCTCCCCCCTTGGTCCGAATAGGACAAGGAGAGGGGGCCGGCCCCCCTTCCTCCTCTCTCTCCTCTTTCCCCCCTCCACGAATCCTATTCCAACTAGGAAAAGGGGGGGAGTCCTACTCCCGGAGGGAGTAGGACTCCTCCTGGCGCGCCCTATGATGGCCGGCCGGCCCCCCTCCCTTGAGCCTTTATATACGGAGGCAGGGGCACCCCCTAGAGACACAAGTTGATCCACGTGATCATATTCTTAGTCGTGTGCGGTGCCCCCTTCCACCATAGTCCTCGATAATATTGTAGCGGTGCTTAGGCGAAGCCCTGCGACAGTAGTACATCAAGATCGTCACCACGCCGTCATGCTGACGGAACTCTTCCCCGACACTTTACTGGATCAGAGTCCGGGGATCGTCATTGAGCTGAACGTGTGCTAGAACTCGGAGGTGCCGTAGTTTCGGTGCTTGATCGGTCGGGTCGTGAAGACGTACGACTACATCAACCAAGTTAACGCTTCCGTTGTCGATCTACAAGGGTACGTAGATCACACTCTCCCTCTCTCGTTGCTATGCATCATTATGATCTTGCGTGTGTGTAGGAATTTTTTGAAATTATTATGTTCCCCAACAGGTAGAAGATGCCACAATGTCTTGCTTTCCCGATTCCGACAAGGAATGGTCGAACTGACGCGACAAGGTAGCGACAAGGTCAGGCTGTCAACAAACTAATTAAGCTTGATCGGGTTCTAGTGGGCTCAGCCTTGACTCAGTAGAAGCTCTAGCTCCCGAAGATACAAAGCTCGGTTACAAAAGAGAATCAATGTTCCTAACATAACAATGCAGTAAGCCCAAATACAAAAACAAAAAATTATCGCCAAAAGATGCTAAGTTCAAGAAATCTGAAGTACGCGCAAGCATGGCTCCACAAAAGTAACCAAAGCTTTTTTTTTTCCTTTTTTTCCTAGAAAGAGAAATAGTATTTATACCGCGGCCTCTGTATCTCGATTAACTATTGCACAGTTTACAAGATCCATGCTAGGCATCTAGTCTAGCTTTATCAAGCTCGCTCGGCTAATTTATTGGGATACAAGTAGAAATCAAACCACCCCACAAAAAACTTATGTTCTTTGTAGGTTCTTAGTACATATGCCCGTGCGTTGCAATAGGAAAAAAATGATGTTTTATGCAAGCATAATGTCTCACAACCTATATATGACAATATATATATATTTAAAACTACATCTGTGTAGAATATTGAGTTGCATGCATCAACCAGTTCAACTCAAAAGCTTAAGCTGATGAGGAAAGGTGGACAATTCACTTATACTCCAACACTCCCCCTCACGTGCAGGCTCCCTCAGGCCGCATACATGGATATTAGAGTGGGCTGTAATTATTTTAATTAACGCGCCCGTCAGGATTCGAACTCGAGATCTCTGGCTCTGATACCATATTGAGTTGCATGCACCAACCAGTTCAACTCAAAAGCTGATGAGGAAAGGTGGACAATTCACTTATACTCCAACATAGAAATCTAGTGATATACTTTTCTCGACATATAATACATATTTAATTCCTCAAATCGATGACCTAGAAGTACATGAATGATTCATACACCGAGATGAAGGTAGTACCTCAAATCCTTCATGTATAATTTATTAAGACCACAATCTTTCTTTTAGTTATTCCACCGGTTTACCCATAATCCTTTCTTTAATTAGCCACATTCGTTTAAATATTCTATTTAGGCTCACAACCCCAGATACATACTGAAACGTAACACAAAAAGGGAAACCAAGCCATGTACTCCCTTCGTTGCATAATTATTGTCGTGGTTTTAGTTCAAATTTGAATTAAAACCACGACAAGAATTCAAATTTGAACTAAAATCACGACAATAATTATGGAACAGAGGGAGTAATTAATTTATGCAGCTCGGTTAATTCCAGAAGAAACTGGCGTCAATGACGAGTTCATGGACGCTTGAATCTCTTCCAGGGTCCTTCCTTTAGTCTCTGGTACCAGCCGCTCCACAAATACAACAGTCAGACCGCAAATGCTCGCAAACATGAAAAATGTACCTGAAATTAACCCGTCGATGGTGTACAGGCAAAACAAAACAAAAACATCAGCAAAGCTTCTGGTCAACCGGAACTATACTTTTGATCAGAAGGTCCATTTTCTATGCAACAAATATATTTACCGTAGGAGCTCCACAGCAGGAGGAAGTTGAAGGCATACGAGACGATCCATGAGCCGAGCCAGCTCACCAAGGTCACCAGGCTTCCTGCTGACCCTTTCATGTGTATGGGGAAGATCTGCATGTCCAGCGACGGATTGTGGTCAAATTCATTCGTACCACGAGTATATATTGGGGTACAGTAATAACTCTTTTAATGGTTTGTTAACGGCAGAATGGGCACCTCTGACATTATAACCCATGGAATTCCTCCCATACCCAGTGAGAAAGATCCACTGAAGATCTGGTTTCCAAAGCAACAGAGATGTTTACAGTGACTAGACATCTGGCAGCATTGCTGAAAAAGAAGTTAAAACTAAGATGTGGTATATACCAGAATCCCTGTCAATGCCAATGCCACGTTGAGGTCCTTCGCCCAATGATGTTCCTGTTCAAGAAAGAATAAATTATATAATAGCGCTTGTGTGGCCTTCTTACGAGGATGATATCAGTTTCAGAAGATTCAAACCTTGGACAAGAATGACAGGCCAACTAGTAGGCAACCCAGGCATGTCCCAGCTGCAGAGACCTGGGGCATTGCAGCATGAAACAAACAGCCTTGGAATTCATTACTAATTGTATCATTTTTCAACTATCAAAAACCCGTATATCTTTTTTTACCATCAGAAGTGGCCTCCTTCCAGCCTTGTCCAGCAGAAGCACCCCAAGTGCCGTCATCGGAATCTACAAGGACACCATAAAATCACTGGGTACTGGGAAGCAAAAAAAAAACTGCATAACAGCCATGATTAAATACCTGAACCGCAACCATAGCGAGCATTCCAGTGTTCCCTGACGAGAAACCTGATTCATGTCATGGATAGTTAGTAGTAGTGCCCAAAAGTAACACATGGTAAAAAATATGCTTAGTAACTAAAAGCAGTAAGGATGAGAAGGGCAAGGGAACAGTTTGCTAAAACTCATTACCAGCCGAAACAAATATCTCACTGGCGTAGAAGCAGATTGCATTCACTCCACCAAATTGTTGAAGAACCATTAGCCCAACTCCAACCTGAAAGAAACTTGATATCTTAGAAAATTACACATAATTAAGCTTCTCCTTTCTAGCTAGAAATGCATAACTAGAATACTTACAGTGACAGCATGAATATAATCCTTCTGAAATAGGTCCAACATCTTTGACTGTGGCAGATGCTGAAGCTTTTCAGTGAAATCCTGACCATATATAATTAGGTAGACATTTTAGCAATGCATGACTAAGTAGGTGTTCTATTCTAACTCTCAAGTACTGAATAGTTGATACTTTGATATCTGCTGCCTCTTCGGAGATGTCAGTTTCTTTCCCCCTTAGCTTCTGTAACGCTTCCTCAAGTGCACCTGAGTGTCCGATCTTAGCCTGAAATGCATGGTTTTTCTCTCAAAGAAGGGCAAAACTGTAGGCTCCATCTAATGAATACACGTCTTAGAGCAGCTATGATAATACGAGAAGATGATTCCACACTCATTTCAATTTGTCTGCACGCAATGAACTTAGGTCTCAAACTGAATATTTATAGAAATTGTTGTTACCCCAAAATCTGCTTCCCTGCATCTGAACTTGATGGAATGTTAAGCAATGATCATGCTAAGTTTGTAAATGCCACATAGTACTACTATATATGTTTTTTTTTCTCGAACATACATAAAAATGTGTCTTTTGTATTAGAAGAAGGAACCAAGATGAGATGGCAGGGACCTTACAGGCAAAAGAGTGAAAGAAAACAAAGCCAGAGGCAAAAAACAGGAAACACTAAGCCTAGAACCGGAAAACAGAGCTAACCCAAAAAACAGAGCAAACAGGAGAGAAAACAAAAGGGATCTACAAATACCCTACGCACGAAGGACCAAGCACCAGAAGGGTACATATGTAGAAGTGCTTCTACCTTTCTACTATTGACTAGGCCATAATTGGATAATCAAGTAATTCTAGAACCAAGAACGGAAATGGACGGAAGAAAGAGATTCATCAAGTATCAACACTACAAGGAGAGCTTACTTACCAGCCACCTAGGAGATTCAGGAATCACAAGAAGGCCAACCAGCTGCAGTAAACATGGTGTCACTCCTACAAGAGCAATAGTCATTATGCACTTCATTTATATTTATACAAGTGCATGCCATTTCCTAAAGATATACAAGTGCATGCATTTCGACGCCAATATGTTAAAAAAAAAAGGCAGCCCGGTGCATGTAGCTCCCGCTTGCGCAGGGTCCGGGGAAGGGTCCGACCACTTTGGGTCTATAGTACGCAGCCTTTCCCTACATTTCTGTAAGAGGCTGTTTCCAGGACTTGAACCCGTGACCTCTTGGTCACAAGGCAGCAGCTTTACCACTGCGCCAAGGCTGCAACAAATACCAGTTAAAATTGGTGCAATGACCGATCCTCATACAACAAACACATTTTAAAATATATGCTCCTTGTTCTATGAATGGTAGATAAGTAAATCCAAAAAAATTAATGTACCTACGATTGCCAAGGTACGCCAAGTGATACATGTCCCCAGAGCATACGCGAGCGACGCCCCGCAACATATCATAAACTGCAGAAATGGATATACTTGCCTTCTTAAGATAATACTGTATACAAACACAACCAGTAATGAAATCTCCCAGGTTGGGTACAAACCTGGTTTACGGCTGCGAACCGTCCTCTAAGATTCTTGGGTGTTATCTCTGATATATAGACTGGGACCTGTTCAGTTCAGGTAACAAAACTTTCAGATCAAATTCGTTGGAGAAAGTAACAAGATGGAGTTTTGTTTTCTATAATCACCACATATGAAAGAAGTCCAATTCCACATCCAATTGAGAGCCTCCCAAGGTCAAGCCACACAGAGTTCTACAGAAGAATATACAGAAAAGAAGGAAACAAATTACAGGATGAACTAAGGAGTGGTATTCCCTTCAAAGTTACAGTAGGTACTGAAATGCACACTGAAGTAGAAATACATAGAGAACTGAGGGAGGATACCTTAGAAAAGACTATAAGGAGATATCCAAGAATGCAGAACACATCTGATATTGCCATTGCCTTCACATCAAGATGACGTCAGTTAGTTGAGACTTGAGAGGCTACAAATGATTTGTTTTGGCAAGTACACGCTCGTTAGATGGTTTAATTAGCAGGATGGAAATGGGATTGAAACTTACACATCTTCGACCAACTCGATCTGCTATGGTACCACTGACAATAGCGCCCAGCATTGCTCCTATCGTTAATATTGAGCCAAAGACAGAATACTGCATGATGGCCAAAAGAGCAGATGCTTTATTTACAGTGATCATGTGTCAAGTTGACTCTCAGCAGGTCACAACCACCAAGATGAACAAACAAAAATGTTATATGAATGAGTACCTCAGCTAAGGAAAGATGAAGATCCCGCATGATGCCCTCCTGAGATGGCGATGAGTAGCCCACCTGCAAAACAGGGGATCACAATTAAGTTCTCCACCTGAAAATATTTGTGCTAGAACAACAGTAGGACAGTTAAATGCAAGCACTGTTACACATTATTGTCCTTGCATCTCAATTGGACGTGCACTCTACTCGAGAATGCAAAATAGTGACACGGTTGGCCGTTGAACAAGTCGAGTTACATACCGAGATGCCGAACACAAAGGATCCAGCAACGGCGACGGCGGTGCTAGCGACCACCACCCAAATCGAAGAAGCCCTGTTGTTCCGGGCCACCAAGAGAGGCTTCTTGGATTCTACTCCCTCCCATTCCGTAGACATAGGGCCTGGCTGTAGCAGAGTTGTCTTCTGAAACGATCCACATTTTCATTAAGCATAGTACTCCCTCCGTTCTCTTTTATACTATGTTTTGGACAGCTGACATTGATCTATTTTGTGTGTTGTCTGAATTGTCTAAACATCTTATAAAAGTGAACAGCGGGAGCAGCATAAATTGCTAATGATCACTGGTTCAGAAACTAAATACATCATCAATGATAAACTACAAGCATAGCAAGAACAGTGAAGTAAGAGATGATGATGCTAAGTAGATGTTTCCATGATCTAGAGAAGTCACAAGCTTGCTCTCATTAATACATAGTATTTTTTTTCAGTGATAAGGATTTAACTAACCATGTATAGGCATAAAACAAGCAAGACTTCAGATTTAGGCTCTCACAGGCGCAGCCACACTAATCATGCATGTCAAGAAATTATCATACACCTTTCATCAAGTTGCAGGGGAGAAGTTAATTGTGAGCACAATCCAAGACAGACATGAGTATTTTAACACACCACAGTAAGCAACTACTAACTCTGAACATAATATGGTCAGACTTGTGCACAAGCAAAAAACAGAGCAGTAGTATAGGGCTAGTTGGGCGTAGTTGAGTGGCAACACAGCGTGGGACTACCGCGGCCGCACATCGCGAACATGAGGATCAGATGACCAGGAGCAGAAACATGTAGTATGCAGCTACTCCGTACCTGTAGTCGGCGGGAAGCTCGCCGGCGCCGCGAGGTGGTACGTGCGACGGACGCCGGAGGCGAAACCGCTCGAGGAAACCGATGGACGGAACTGCGTTGACCGGGGCAGGAAGGTTTCTTCCGGCGTGCGGCGGCGGGATCGATCCCCTGTCGCCGGCGGCGGGTTGGGGGCCGTGGCGAGAAGGAGCAGGGGTGTGACTGTGTGTCGGAAAAGGACGAGAAGGAAAGACTAGACTAGCTCGCTTCCAGATCGCTGTCCACCGCTCGAGCCGCCGTCTTGTCGTTTCCCTTTCACCCAGGATATGCATTTGCGAACGTGATTTTACGATTACACCCTCCCATCCTAGGGACCCACCCAAGGACAGAGGTTCGATGCACGGAGAAGATCTTGAACCTTTTTTCCTTCCCAGATTTTTTTTGAAAAGGGAGGATTCCTCGGCCTCTGCATCCTTGCCAGATGGAGAAGAATTTAAGCTGACGACATGAGAAACGTAATGAACAAGTTCAGTTATTATAGTATTCACAAGCACAATTCATAGCTCGTTTTAAATTAACTACTTTCTTACTATGATTCGCATCTTTGTTTCTTGAGGTGTTAGTTCAATTTATAATTTAAACTTTCTGGCGTGGTAGGTATATATTGAGTAATGTATTTTTCATCAGGAAAAACGATATAATTGTGTTCACGTCCATAATTATTTTTGGAAATTTTGATTGAAAACTAACGGAATGTGTTTTTTTTTTACTTTGGGAACAATAGTTATATGGGAATTTATACCTCCTCGTATAGTGGTTGGTGGCAAAAAGAAAGGAGAGAAGGGAAAGGAAAAATTGTGCCGCGTCTTTTTCTGGGTCCGGGTGGAAAAGATACACGAAGGAGAGAATGGTACACCAACGCTTATCACAACATGCTTGGAAAGTGTGAATTGAGTGTAATGCAGATGTCTAGATTTCTTGTGGCCCAACCAACCCACCGGTAGTGCCCATATTTTTATGTATTTAGTTTTGTTTTTTCACCGATGTTCATTTATTGGAAGTCTCCGTCGACTACGAGACACCTATGATAACTTTGTCAATTTCAAATTGTTGTTTTGGCTCAGTATCTGAAAGATGCTCATAGAAATATGGACAAAGATAATAGGGGATGCGAGGAGGGGGGACCCTGTCGATTTTGTTTACAAGAATTAAAGCAATGCTTTCCTTCTGAAATTGTGTGAACAAACTCCAGCAGGACCATATAGCAACCAACTGTGGATGCCGACCGGACCAAATTAAAACAATTTCCAGGACCATACGTGGTACTTCCTCCGGTCCTTTTTAGTACGCATATAAGTTTTGTCTAATGTCAAACCTCATAAAGTTTGACCTATTTTATAGAAAACATACCAACATTAGATGTGTCATAAATTTAATTATTATATTGTATAACTTCAGTATTGAAGATGTTGACAATTTTGCATAGAAATACGGTAAAAATTTACGAAGTTTGACTTCAAATAATTCTTATATGCAGAGTAAAAAGGACCGAAGAGAGTACTAGATTATTAGCAATTTAGCATTAATAAGTCTTTTGATCCTTTGTAAGCTGCATATAAGATTTTTCGAATATAAACTTCGCAAAGTTTGATTATATTTATATGAAAAATATCAACATCTACAATAAAAATGTACAATATGAAAATTAAATTCATGAGACATTTAATGATATTGATTTTGTATTGTGAATGTTGATATTTTTATTCTATAAAGTTGGTCAAACTTTATGAAGTTTGATTTCAGACAAATCTTATATGTTTTTTCTCGACATAGGGTGCTTTTTATTAACTCATCATGAAGCATCAAGATGATACAAAACATAAAGAGTATACACCTGGCCTCTGTACAACTAAGATGCATACCAACACACACACACACACACACACACACACACACACACACAAACAAAAAAGACTCTGGCAAAAAGCAAAGCCATACAAGAATCGAATCTATGCCAAGGCGAAATAAAATAAAGAGAAACAAAACTTGCTACCCTCATGAACACAATTTACCTTAAAAACATTCGATTTGCCATACCTAAAATTTTGACGTTGGATATTCGGGTCCTCGTATATTCCTAGTTTCGCCTAGTTGTGACATGCAAGAAATTATTGAAGTATTAGTTAGAAGCATTAAACACCCAAGAAAAGATCCTAGACTTTCCTTCTCCTGCCATCGACACCCCCACCAGTCCGCCCTGTCTCCGTTGGGCTTTGGGTCATGGAGGAGCGAGGGACTGATACGTCTTCAATGTATCTCTAATTTTTGATTGTTCCATACTATTATATTATCTGTTTGGATGTTTTATATGCATTAATATGCTATTTTATAATTATTTTTGGGACCAACCTATAAACCTAGAGCCCAATGCAAATTTCTGTTTTTTTCCTTATTTTTGACTTTTACAGAAAAGAAATATCAAACAGAGTCCAAACGAAATAAAACTTTACGATGATTTTTCTTGGACCAGAAGACACCCACGAGACATGGAGAGGGGGGCAGAAGACTCAGGAGGCGGCCACAAGCCGTGGGGGCTCGCCCTAGGGGGCCACCCCTGGCTTGTGGGCCCCTCGTGGACCTTCCTGACCTAATTCTTCCACTATAAATTCACAAATATTCTCTGAACATCAGAAGCGTCCGTCAAAATACTTTTCCGCCGCCGCAAGCCTCTGTTCCCATGAGATCCCATCTTGGGGCCTTTTCCGGCACCCTGCCGGAGGGGGATTCGATCACAGAGGGCCTCTACATCAACCTTACTGCCCTTCCGATGAAGCTTGGGTAGTTTACCATAGACCTACTTGTCCATAGCTAGTAGCTAGATGGCTTCAATACTTGTCACGAAAATGGATATAAATGGATGCATCTAAAACTAAAATGCGGCTAGATACATCCATTTCTCCAACAAGTATTTCTGGACAGAGGGAGTATTCATTACAAAACTAGCAAGTTTATCTCAGCTGAGGGCCCTTAGCATTTCTGGGGTAAGGAGCATTCAGTGTGCACAATTGTGCGAGTCTCTGACAAAGATGCACCAGCTCTCAAGATTACAAATAACGGCCAGCAACGAAGATGAAGTGCTCCAACTCGAAACTTTGACATTGTCTAACCGTCTTAAGAAGCTCGATTTGTACGGAGAATTTCCGAGGGAACTTTGAAATCACCATTTTTCTCAACCAACGGAGATGCCCTTCCCAACATATCTCTATGATGGTCCCACCTCTCGGAGAACCCATTGCCGCGCCTCTCTAAATTGTCAAACTTGACCGAAATAATTCTAAGCATAGCGTATACTGGACAAGAGCTAACCTTCCAGCCAGAGTGGTTCCCAAATGTGAAGATTCTTATCTTGTGGAATTTGCCACATGTTAACCAAATATGCATACACGATGGAGCTTTTGTCCGCCTTGAAGAACTTGTGATAAAAACTCCGGCCGAACTGCGGGAGATCCCTGGGCTGGGACATCTGAAATCCCTCAAAGAGGCACGGTTTTATGACATGCATCCTGTTTTCGTAAGGAATCTTCAAGCGGCAAGACTAGAGATTATCCCGATATCCTACTAAAGGGCATTACGGTTAGTGAACCATCCTAGCAAATATATTATATCAGCACTTTTCATGCCATTCAGTGTGTGCTCAATCACCTGCACCAAATTCTAGTTTTTTTAGTTGATGAAATTTCGTTCTGTTGCAGACCCGGAGTGGCTTGAGTCTTTCTTGTAGATGGGGTTTGCACTTTGCAGTCATTGTCGTCGGTGAGGAGCCATATATATATGTGTTTGTTGTAGAATGGATATTTATGGGACAATTGTCATTCATCTTGCTATTATTATTCCTGCTTATTCAAAAAATAAGGCCTCTTTTGGTTCATATGATAGGATTATCGTAGGAATAGAAATTTTGTAGGAAATGAGATGACATGTATCTCAAATTCTATGAGTAGGAATAGGAAACGAGATGCCATTTGGTTGACACCCAAAAAAAATTCCATTAAGTCTAGACTCATTTTTATTTTCTTATGAAATGTGAAGTATAGGAACTAATCCTATGTAGAAATAGGAATCCATTCCTATGAACTGAAAGGCTCTAAAGGAAAAAAATCCTATAAAAATCCTATCCTCAAGAATTCCTATGAAATTCCTCCAAATCAAAGAAGGCCTAACTTGTAATAAGGCATGTGAATGATTTCTATTCTTGTCCATCTTGACTTTACAGATGTATGTTTAGTGTTGCTAAGCTACTGCTTCGAGATAATTATTAC